TATACCTTTCAGTTCTTCAGAAGAAGTCGTTTGAAGTGTTTGACACACTGGACCCCTGTGACCTCGAAAGTAGGTCAAGGTCATTTTTATTCTCAAACTTTGTTGGGCTCTATCCCACGAAGCCATCAGCCAAATATGAAGATTCTATACCTTTTAGTTCTTTAGAAGAAGTCGTTTGAAGTTTTTGACATATTTGACCCCTGTGACCTTGAAAACAGGTCAAGGTCATTTTCGTTCTCAAACTTTGTAGGGCTCCTACCAACGAAGCTTTCAGCCAAATATCATGACTCTAGGCCTGTCTGTTCTTCAGAAGAAGTTGTTTAAAGGAAAAGTTGACGGACGGACGGACCGACGGACGGACGACGGACGCTGCGCCACGGCATAAGCTCACTTGGCACTTCGTGCCAGGTTAATTAAAAATGTAATGAAGACATAATTAGAAATAAAAGCAAATTTTAAAACAGCAGTACAATAAAAAGAATCTCTTTCCCTTTTATGTTAAGAATTATAAACTTAAAAAACATTTAAAAACAAGGATAAAAAATGAGTAAAAATGATGAAAAGGGAATAAATCAGCAAATCTCACAGTATTGTGTTTATATGTCACTGTTTTACAAAATAGTATTATCGAGAGTTTCCCACCGCAAGTGCCCTGTGTATGTCTAGTGGGCCTTCCCATCACAAAGTTCAATCATTATACAATATAATTTATGATGAACACAAACACAGGTATGCCTCCTGTACATTATATGGGTCCGTATGTTCCTAGTGTATATCACCAGATACAGCCCTGTAGTCTATAGTAATGTGGGTGTCATGTTATACAAATGCCGATTCTTTTAAACTCTTGAATCCTTCAAATGTTTAAAAACACTATTAACTAAATCAATAAATGTCACGAAGAAAAAAACATAAATAAAATTGCACTGTAGAAAAATTGCTTATTATAAATGACAAACATTCATTGTGCCAAATGATAAAATTCATAGATTCATTAATGTTCACTGGTTCAAATGAACAAGAGGCACAATGGGCCTGCATCGCTCACCTGGTATTAATCTCAAACTTTTAACCTTCAAAGGGGACAAAAAAAGTTTCATGCAAAATATCAGTGTTTTGACTCAGATTCATTCTAAAGAACCTGTTAAAAGACTTAAAGACATTTGACCTCTGTGACCTCGAAAGTCAAGCAAGGACATTAAGTTGAACAAACTTAATCACCCTTCATCCCAGAAGGCAACTTACCAAATATAATTACACCAGACCTTTTGTTTATTTTGAAGATGACTTTTAAACATGTATACACAACTGAAAGTGTGTCAAGGTCATTCCTTTAAACAAATTTGGTAGCCCTTCATCACAGCATGCTTCTGGCCAAATATCATCGACATGGGCCTATTAGTTATTGAGAAAAAATCGTTTAAAGAAAACAAATGATAATAATAAATAATAATATACAGCATTTATATAGTGCCCTATATAATTTGTAAAATTACTCTAAGGCGCTTTACAACATATGGATAATAGTAATGGTTATAATTGTGAAAACAAACAACAAGGCTTGCAATCACTTTCATACATGATGCCGGGGGACGGACGATGGACGATGCTCCATGGCATAAGCTCACTTGTCCCTTTGGGCAAGGTGAGGTAAAAATGTTCGCTGGTCCAAACTGATTTGAAGAGAGGTGTGTAGTGATAAATAGAAAACAGGAACTGTAAGGATGTCTGTATGATAATATCATGAACATAATTATTGATAGTTGTATTATCACACATAAAATTTTAATACTATCATAATTTTACATGTACTGATTACATTTGGCCAACATCTATTGTTGAAAGTCATCAGCAAATCAGAATTGAGGAAGTACAATAATTATCCGGCAATAGACTATTAACAGCCACACCAATATACTTGTATGATCTATAGCCGTTCAGTAAAAATGCCAGCAGTGTCGTTTCATAAACCCTCTATTTTCAGTAAGTAAAGAAAATTGCACGAATAACCAATAACAAGTGCCAATTCCTTTACATTTGATTTTGAAGCACATTGCTATTATTCACACTCTGACATAAGTTAGGATAAAGTCATTGATTCTGAAGAGGCTTTTTGGTTGGTGGTTTGTTCTTCTGAAACTACAGCATGCCATATGCATTGTACTAAAACCAGCTTAACTGAATCTTTGTAAAATGGTGGAGTATTCAAGGTTAGGTCGGGACTAGTGCCTACCTATCTGCTGGAGCTTGGAGGGGTCTTTCTCACTCATCTGATTTGGATTAAACAAGGTTCTCATGAATTACTTTGGAGTTAAGCCTTTCACCCCTAGGTAACATGAGTAGACTCTACCATACATTCATCTGAATGAGTCTGTTATGGTCTACAGTGGTGAAAGGGTTAACAAAGTTCTCATGAATTACTTTGGAATTAATAAAAGTTTGCATGTATTACTCTGCAGAATATGTTCAACAACCTAGAAATAAAACTTATTTTGACCATTATATTCCAATACTTCTTTTAAAATGAAGACTTTTTTTTTTGTGTAAGTCATATATCCACAGTTGAGAATTTGTTTCGAAAATCACGATTTCATACATCTTAGGTCAAAAACCAATTTTATAATGCAGTTGTGTGCAGAGTCGTCCTATCCAGTAACATAATGCTGACCTGCTAGCAGTGTACTAATATACAAGTAATACATCAATCAAATACGAGGTATAGTCTAATTCAAACTTAAGGACACATGTACATAATTTTATGCTTAACCAAACTAATTGTTTTATATATCTCCGTAAAGAGGGAATCAAACTCAAGGTTAAAAATTGAGCACTCTAAACATTTCTTTATATTGTATTAATGTTCTCAAACACACAGCTTCTATATAGTTTTTATATACAAACAGCTACAATATATTATATTTATATATTATATATATGTCCTCATATGTACTAAGTAATACACTTAACTCAGTATCAAATTGACACAATGATAACTTGATAATATTTACACGATAACAATAATTCTCTTTTATATATCCTACGTACCGGTATATAGATATAACATGTCAATTAAATTTCTATGAGCTTTCTAAAAATAGTGCCTCCTTGATGTTTATATACAGAATCGTTATTGCTGAAGGTGGCTGTGTAATCACACAGGACAAGATCCCTCCTGTAAGCATTCTCCAGTACAAACCTATTATGCATGATTTAATTATGAGTATAAATTTTCTATACAACATTGAATCAAGTTTTACTCTTGCAATATACAAAAGAAAAAAGATAAACCATTAAATTCAGTGGCTAACAAATGTGTAATACCTACTACCATCTGTCAGGTGTACCTGTGACACCTAGCTCTCTAGCTTCCATGTGACCATAGTTCAACTAACAATATTTTTCAGAAGTGTACAATTTCTTTTCTCGAGGATTAGTCTACAGGCAAACTAAAAAATATTCTGTTTGGCCAACCAAACATTTTCTGAGTAAATTTATTCTTATGTGCAAGTTTCATCAAGTCACTGCTATGTAAAAACGGTGTTTTTACCAGTTTCACTGACACTCTAGTTTTATTTACACAAAATCTACTAAGCCCAGGGTAGGTGATAGTGTGCCCCCGAGATACACAAATCTTGAAATGTAGCTGAACCTATCACACAATAATACTAAGGTGATGGTATGAAATCTCCATCCAGACTTGTTTATAAGTATAGGCCTACTTTATCCTCGACAACAACATTAGAAAACAAGGCAAAGTCATACATACTTTTTGCTCTAATATATCTCAATAGTCTATCTCATTAGTTTATAGTAAAAACTTCATATTTATTTTGGTTTGATTGATCAAAATTTGAAAAGTAAAAAATATCAACATCAGAAATCAGAAAACCTTTATATCTTGACGCCAACTGTATGCAAGATCTTTATAAGTTCTATGTAATTCTCTCTCTTACCCATAGGAAAAGTACTCATGTCAACATTTAATGCATCTTGTTGTAACTTCTGATTAAAACTTCATACAACTGAATTTGAGAGTGTCCTTTCAAATTTAGTTTGTTCTGTGACATATTTACTAAAATAGTTAAAAGTAAATAGTTAAAAAGTTGAACATGAAAGAGCCATATTTTTCTTCTGATCGAGCAATTTGAAGCTTTAAACAAAATATGCAAAAACCTAAACACTTAACGATACGTTCTCTTACAAGTAAAATCAACATATGAAATTTGAGAAAGATCTGTAAAATACTTCTTAAATACTGATAATTAACTTCAGCTAGCAAAATCAAAGATGCCTACCTCACGGCCATTTTGTTTTTCTGTTCAGTCTCAAAATGAAATATATAATATTGATTAATCGTATGAAATTTGAGAAAGCTCAGCATGTACTTCTTCAGAAATAACAAAGACAAACTTGAACTGTCAAAATCCAACATGGCTGCCAGGGGGCCATCTTGTTATTCCAATTAGTTCAAAGTGAGACACTAACATCTATGAACCAAAGGGGGACTTACATATGAAATGTGTTTTTCTGATCAGTCTTACAATGACATGCACAACTAAAGACAAAGAAATCTACATATGAAATTTGAGGAAGATTTTTGAAGCACTTGATGAGAAAGAGTGATAACACTAGTTATTTAAGGATGGATGATGAACAACCATGGACAAGCAGTGATTTGATGATGTGTGGCAAAAACTAATCTTAAAGTGAGAAAATCAAGCTTTTTATACAAGGTAATTGAATTTCTGTAGCAAATTCAAAATTACCTTGATGTATTAATGATCTTTTTTCCTGATCTCTCTTGATGGAATCCTGAGGCAAAGTAAAATTTGTTTTTATGTGGAAAACAGTCCTCTGAAAACTATCTTTTTGGCTTGAATTTTAATACATGTAGAAATACATGTGAGCAGCAGGAAGAGAACTGACAACTTACGTTGGTAGAGAGGATGAAGATATAGAAAAAAAGATAAATCACTGAGTATGTCGTTAATACATCACTTTGGTGCTAACTTTAGGTCCAATTCCTTGTTCCCTAATTCTTTATTCATCAGTATACGACTTCAATAGAAGGCAATATTCCACTGTGGAAAAATTGGCTCTAAACAGCTTAATTAGTTGTAGGAGTAAGTCATGATAATTCATATCAGGGAATTCTGTACAACAGAATACAAGAGGCCCAAGGACCTTAGCGATCACCTGAGTTATATTATAGGTACTAGTAGCTTTATTTTATTGTTTAGATGTGACGTGGAAATCAGCATGTAAACTAAGTCTTGAAAATATTGGTAAATGTCCCCTTTGGGGCCCCGCCCTAGACCCTGGGGATGGGGCAGGAATCCCAAGTTTACAAGAATGATTCTGACCAAGTTTGAAAAAAATCCATCCACTGGTTCTTGATCATGAGAATAAGTTGAAAATGTAAATCGTTTACGCACGACGGACAGACAGCGATTAGAATAGGTCCCTTGAGTAAAGCTCAGGTGACCTAAAAATAGAATTGTATGTTTTGTATTTCACTGTTAACAGCGGATGGTAAGGTGGTGACGCAGCAGATGTTGTCGAGCTTGTACAGGAACAACACGAGGAAGTTTGGGGCATCACTGGTACCAGCCAGTAACAGAGCCACAGTGTGAATCAGACCAGCCAGTTAATCAACCGTAGGGGTGAATCGGACCCGCCAGTAAATCAGCCGAAGGGGTGAATCGGACCAGCCAGTCAATCAGCCGTAGGGGTGATTCGGAACAGCCACTAAATCAGTCGTAGGTGTGAATCAAACCAGCCAGTAAATCAGCCATAGGGGGGAATCAGACCAGCCAGTAATAAAGCCGTCGGTGTGAATCGGACCAGCCCGTAAATCAGCCGAAGGTGTGGATCGGAACAGCCAGTAAATCAGCCGTAGGAGTGAATCGGACCAGCCACTAAATCAGTGGTAGGTGTGAATCGGACCAATACAAGAGGCCCAAGGACCTTAGCGATCACCTGAGTTATATTATAGGTACTAGTAGCTTTATTTTATTGTTTAGATGTGATGTGGAAATCAGCATGTAAACTAAGTCTTGAAAATATTGGTAAATGTCCCCTTTGGGGCCCCGCCCTAGACCCTGGGGATGGGGCAGGAATCCCAATTTTACAAGGATGATTCTGATCAAGTTTGAAAAAATCCATCCACTGGTTCTTGATCATGAGAATAAGTTGAAAATGTAAATCGTTTACGCACGACGGACAGACAGCGATTAGAATAGGTCCCTTGAGTAAAGCTCAGGTGACCTAAAAATAGAATTGTATGTTTTGAATTTCACTGTTAACAGCGGATGGTAAGGTGGTGACGCAGCAGATGTTGTCGAGCTTGTACAGGAACAACACGAGGAAGTTTGGGGCATCACTGGTACCAGCCAGTAACAGAGCCACAGTGTGAATCAGACCAGCCACTAAATCAGCCGTAGGTGGGAATCAGACCAGCCACTAAATCAGTCGTAGGTGTGAATCAAACCAGCCAGTAAATCAGCCGGAGGTGGGAATCAGACCAGCCAGTAATAAAGCTGTAGGTGTGAATCAGCCCAGCCACTAAATCAGCCGTAGGTGTGAATCAGACCAGCGGGTAAATCAGCCGTAGGTGTGAATCGGACCAGCCAGTAAATCAGCCGTAGGTGGGAATCAGACCAGCCAGTAATAAAGCTGTAGGTGTGAATCAGACCAGCCAGTAAATCAGCCGTAGGTGTGAATCGGACCAGCCAGTAAATCAGCCGTAGGTGGGAATCAGACCAGCCAGTAATAAAGCCGTAGGTGTGAATCGGACCAGCCAGTTAATCAGCCGTAGGTGTGAATCAGACCAGCCAGTTAATCAGCCGTAGGTGTGAATCGGACCAGCCAGTAAATCAGCCGAAGGTGTGAATCGGACCAGCCAGTAAATCAGCCGTAGGTGTGAATCAGACCAGCCAGTAAATCAGCCGTAGGTGTGAATCGGACCAGCCACTAAATCAGTTGTAGGTGTGAATCAGACCAGCCACTAAATCAGCCGTAGGTGTGAATCGGACCAGCCAGTATTAAAGCTGTAGGTGTGAATCGGACCAGCCAGTAAATAAGTCGTAGGTCTGAATCAGACCAGCCAGTAAATCAGCCGTAGGTTTGAATCGGACCACACAGTTGTATGTGACAGGCCAGCTGGAGCCATCCTTTGTGTACTCAACCTGTAATGGAAAACACATTTGTGATTCTCATGAATGATTATGAAATAGAACACTGAGAGGACAGCAAGGGAATGGTCTGCTGGATAACTTAACTACATATCACACCAAAATACAAAGATCAGGATGGGGGTCATAGAGGTCTTATAGTATGTTGTAAGCTAAGGCATAAATGAGTTTTTATATCATGTTGACAGTGATCAGCAAGGGCCTATCTGTGTTCTTTACCATACTGACAGTCAGCAAGGGCCTCACTGTGTTCTTTAGCATACCGACAGTCAACAAGGGCCTCACTGTGTTCTTTAGCATACTGACAGTCAGCAAGGACCCCACTGTGTTCTTTAGCATACTGACAGTCAGCAAGGACCTCACTGTGTTCTTTAGCATACCGACAGTCAGCAAGGGCCTCAGAGAGTTCTTTCAGCATTGAACAACTTTCAGCTGGCATTCATAGTCAATATGAATGCCACCTGGAAATGACAATTCCATGAAGTGCACCTATAGCTCTTGGCAATGAGCTATGTGGTCTCTTTATCTTATATCTAATCAAGAGTCATTACCTGATGGAGAACACATGACACTTCCTGGACAAACTTTTTAAGGCCCCTTCTATCTGTGACACTAGTACTGACTAAGTTATACACACTGTACTACCCCTGTGAAGATTTCTCCCTGTATCGCGAGTTTCTACTTGAGTATATCAGGTATAGCCTGAACGAGCTGAACTATACAATGTCCCATGAACAAAGAATGGATGGAAAACGCAAACTAAAAATTATAAAGGTAACTGAAACCTTACCATCGGCGTTTTGTTAGTATTTTCATTAACCATTTCACCACTGTAGACCATAATTGACTCATCGAGATCAATGCATGGTTGAGTCTACTAAAGTTGCATAGGGGTAATAGGGTTGTACATTTTTGTCTTGTTAACATCATTTACTACATTCTTACTAAGTAAGTGTGATGTATGAACTGGGATATATGTAACTACACTCAGTATACCAAGGACATGGTCAGCTGTGTGCTTACTCTATAGGTTTACTTACATGGTAACCAGTACGGGCACTGCTAGGACTCCTCCACCCCATTCTCTTTCTCATCCTTGAGTAGTCCTGATGAACTGGCAGCCTCCTTCATCTGCAATGAGAGTTATTGAATACTGCTACAGAAAATCTTGATCTGTCTGTTTGTGTTGATTTGGTAGACATATACAAATGGTTCTTTTTTAAGTCTTTTTCATAAGAAGTATTCCATAGAAGGCACATGTTGAGAACATTCTGCAGAATTGTAACTGTTTGAAATTTGAATGTTTGAAAATAGACAACAAAAAGAAAACCAACAAGAGGCCCATGGGCCTAAACGGTCACCTGAGTCTACAGTATNGTCAATTAAACTGCCAACCTTTACACTTGGCCAAGCCTACACTTGACCTATGTTGTCATACAGGAATCATAAATGAACAGTAACAAAATAAGAGCCTAATTTATAGTTGCAAATTTATGAAAATAAAATGAACATTGAAAGATATAAAACTTGAATTTAGGGGAGGTAACTCAAATCAGAAAACCTCCCTTTGGTTGCTTTATCTTCTATGTATCAAGGAGATTATTCCAAATGACAAGCTTTCAGTTTAAGGAGCTAGCACATACATTTCTGGAAGGTTCTGATGTACATAAGGACTATGATTAAGATGAAAAGGTATTTTTAACAAATCAACAAGTCCTAAAAAAACAAGATAAAGTAATGTAGGTCAGTCCCAAGTCTCTACCATGTGACGTATATTCCTGATGGAGGACTCATTTACGTACCTGCCGTATATAATCTCGGCACTCCTTCTTTGCCTGTAGCATCAGAGTAGCCTGGCCCTTCAGTACACGAACATTCCAAGCAAAGTTTTCTGTTGCCTGAAAATTGAGAAACCACTAAACAAGTGTTTTTTTCTATCCTAAAAATAAAGAGTATTTATGAGATTCTAGTAGGATCTAATCTCCACCATTTAAGGGTTATTTCATGCTATGTTTGTAAAATGTCACCACTAAGTTGATTTCTGAGAAGATAAATATTTTGCACTCTGTGAACCCTCAGGACCCCATCCCTAAGCCCTGGGTACCAGTTCTTTCTTAAATTTATCCTCATCATCTATGAGTATTACATGGAATGATAGGGAAAATGCACTGGTTACTTTCAGAGCAGATGCCATTTGAAGGTTTTGAATTCTGTGAGCTCTCCCCTCAGCCCCTGGGGGTCAGCCTCATTCTGTGAGACCTCCTCTCAGCCCCTGGGGGTCAGTCTCATTCTGTAAGCCCTCCCCTCAGCCCCTGGGGGTCAGTCTCATTCTGTAAGCCCTCCCCTCAGCCCCTGGGGGTCAGTCTCATTCTGTAAGCCCTCCACTCAGCCCCTGGGGGTGGGTAGCAATGAGCCCTCCCCAGTGACTTCATGATCACATCAACGGGTTGATGATTAGCCCCAAGTTTCATCAACACATGATGGATGGTTTCTGAGGAAAGCTGAAACGATCATTGATTATGGACAACAGAATAAGAGGGTCTTAACAGTCAAAATAGTTCAACTGATTCAGATGATCTAAAATATAGAAATTCTTTTAAATAACCCCAAACTCATATTTCTAAACCTGTAGTTGACAGATCAATGTCCTCAGTCCTCCACTTAAACCCTTCAATATCCTCTGCCCCTCTAATAAAGAGTGTCAGGCTTTATTTGTCTATGAATTTTGAAGCAGAATTTTAAAAATCTTCAATAAAGTATTCATTCAGTATAAAATACCACAAACCTTAGACATCTTCCTCTCTTCGAGACCTGCCTATCTACAGCTTTTTATTAAGTTCAAAATATTACAAACCTTGGACATCTTCTTTCCTTTGAGTCCTGCTTGACTACAGATATTCTCCAAGTCCTCATGCCATTCTAAGCCAGCCTTTTGACACTTAAGTAACTAAAAAACAGAAAATTTAAACCAATAGATTATAACATAGCAACTGACACATCTGCTTAATAACTGTAACAATTCGAGGAACAACCATATGAATTTAAACAAGAGGCCCAAGGGGCCTTGATGCTGACATGGGTTACATCAATTTAATCAATAACTGTTTTTGAGAATTACAAATCTCAGTAACTGAAAATCCAGAGTGGATTTTGGATTAGTAAGAAAGTAAGAGCACTTCTTTTGAAGTTAACAAAATATGTCTTAAGTACTATTATAAAAAAAACTCTGCTTTACAATATTTCTGTCTGTGTTCTGACGCTGACTTAATAACTGAGACCTTCTGTCTGTGTTCTGACGTTGACTTAATAACCTAGACCTTCTGTCTGTGTTCTGACGCTGAATTAATAAAGTAGACCTTCTGTCTGTGTTCTGACGCTGACTTAATAACCTAGACCTTCTATCTTTGTTCTGACGTTGATCTTTGTTCTGACTTAATAACCTAGACCTTCTGTCTGTGTTCTGACGCTGACTTAATAAAGTAGACCTTCTGTCTGTGTTCTGACGCTGACTTAAAAACCTAGACCTTCTGTCTTTGTTCTGACGCTGACTTAATAACCTAGACCTTCTATCTTTGTTCTGACGCTGACTTAATAACCTAGACCTTCTATCTTTGTTCTGACGTTGATTTAATAACCTAGACCTTCCGTTTGTGTTCTGACGTTGATTTAATAACCTAGACCTTCCGTTTGTGTTCTGACATTGATTTAATATCCTAGACCTTCTGTCTGTGTTCTGACGCTGACTTGATAACCTAGACCTTCTGTCTGTGTTCTGACGCTGACTTCATAACCTTAGACCTTCTGTCTGTGTTCTGACGCTGACTTAATAAAGTAGACCTTCTGTCTGTGTTCTGACGCTGACTTAAAAACCTAGACCTTCTGTCTTTGTTCTGACGCTGACTTAATAACCTAGACCTTCTGTCTGGGTTCTGGCGCTGACTTAATAATCTAGACCATCTGTCTGTGTTCTGATGCTAACTTAATAACCTAGACCTTCCGTCTGTGTTCTGACGCTGACTTAATAACCTAGACCTTCTGTCTTTGTTCTGCCGCTGACTTAATAACCTAGACCTTCTGTCTGTGTTTTGGCGCTGACTTAATAATCTAGACCATCTGTCTGTGTTCTGATGCTGACTTAATAACCTAGACCTTCTGTCTGTGTTTTGGCGCTGACTTAATAATCTAGACCATCTGTCTGTGTTCTGATGCTAACTTAATACCCTAGACCTTCTGTCTGTGTTCTGACGCTGACTTAATAACCTAGACCTTCTGTCTTTGTTCTGACGCTGACTTAATAACCTAGACCTTCTGTCTGTGTTTTGGCGCTGACTTAATAATCTAGACCATCTGTCTGTGTTCTGATGCTAACTTAATAACCTAGACCTTCTGTCTGTGTTCTGACGCTGTCTTAATAACCTAGACCTTCTGTCTGTGTTCTGACACTGACTTACTCGTTCATGGACTCCGTCAGCACTTTCCATAAGGTTTTTACATTCTGTCACCAGCTACAAAGATAAAATAATCCACTGATTATATTATAAATGGAACAAATGAACAGCACTAATCCTCTGTTATTACTTTATAACAAAAGGCCCAGAGGGCCTGTTTTGCTCACCGGCATCTTTATGCCTAGCAATGGTATATATGTCAATGGGTTGGGGATCTCAACCATTTCAAAGTTATGGCCTAGAAATTATGTCCCTATGGATTAGGCCAGATCTAAGAGTCAATTGAAATATCATGACTGTATTTATCTCATTATTTCTATCAAATGTATATATATATGGTTATGGGGCAGGGATCTCAACCGTTTCAAAGTTATTACCGAAAAATTAAGTCCCTAGTGGTGGAGCCAGACCCAAGAGTCAATATTAATATCATGATTGTCTCTTGATGCCCAGCAATAGTATGTATGGTTATGAAGTGGGGATCTCAACTATTTCAAAGCTATGGCTCAGAAATTAAGTCCCTAGGGGTTGGGCTAGACCCCAAGGACAATTCTTATATCATGATACGGTGGGGCCAGACCCAAGAGTCAATTATCATAAAGTGAATTATGATTGTGATCGTCTCTTGATGCTAAGCAATTGCATACATAGGGTGGGGATCTCCATAATGTCCAAATTAAAAAGACTTTTTTTGCCTCGCCCCTCAGACCATGGGGTCAGCTCTTTAACAGGTACTAATAAGGGCACTAACATATTGCGTGAAACATGATTTTCTTGTTTTAATCACTAATAAGAGAAAACAGACTTGTCGAATGACTCACCTCTGCAAAAGATTGGAGAGCTTTCTTCAAAACATCTGGAAGGTTTCCTTGAGCTTCTAACGAAGGATACTGAGGAGAAAATCAAATAATTGGTATTTTCACAGAATGATCAAGATTCTGAAGACGACAACTATATAAATTTAAATTTAAAGAAAAATCAGAAAAAAGAAAACCAGAGGACAATTAGTTAAATAATGACAAAATATAACAAATAGTGTAAAACAGTACACTTTATGACATACAATGTATATAGTAATTAATAGAACCTTACAAACTGATTGTAAAATGATTTAATTTCTCTTAAACAAATATTATTCACAATGGTATATGAATAGAATGGAAAAACAGGCTACGTCTATATCAGTTCTCTCCTGAAGAATGACTTACCTCCCTTTTAATAATGACTGAGAGGGAGGACTGCTCCGTGGCATTGGACACCCGTGTGGCCAGTAGACGTATACATTGTTTGATGTTGGCGATTGGAGACAGCCCACATGCCTCCTTAAATTCTGACAGAGCTACCTGGACGTCCTCTCGCAGGTCTGTACACTCTCGTAGCGGTCCTATTGATGCCTGAAGGAAAGAAGACAAGAATAAAAACAAGAGTACCGCGGGGTGGAACAATATAAGCCCTTCAAATGCCATATAGTGTTATATACTTTCTTACATTGAAATAAGATCTGCATCATTCTAAGAATAATTAGCTGACATGCTATAAAAAATGTAGAAGAAAATCTCTGGACAAAAAATTAAATACTGAAATGAACAAAGGGCAATAACTTTTGCAAAAATTGTTGAATCGAAATTCTTTTAAGGGAGACACAACTTCATATCATGATTATAATGTATACCAAGTCTCAAAGAGATTCGTTGAAAAATGTAGGAGGATATTGCCGGTCAAAAATCAAATACTGAAATAAACAAAGGGCAATAACTTTTGCAAAAATTGTTGAATCAAAATTCTTTTCAAGGAAACACAACAACATATCATGATTATTTAGCCTACTAAGTTTAGAAAAAATCCGTCGCAAAATATAGGAGATCTCCGGACAAAAAATCAATTACTGAAATGAACAAAGGGCAATAACTTTTGGAAAAGTTGTCTAACCAAAATTCTTTTTAAGGGAGACACAACTTCATATCATGATTATAATGTATATCAAGTTTCAAAGACATCTGTCGTAAAATGTAGGAGGAGATTGCGGGACAAACAAAAGTTTACACAGGACGGATGGACAGACGGACGGACGACCCCATACCATAATATTTCCATCAAATTTGACGGGCGTATAAAAATGAACTTTCTTAATATATACTGGAGCTGTTAGTCTATAACAAGAGGCCTGTGGCCAAATTAGATCACTTGGTTTTTACTTCTCTCTGATAAATATTACAAATGAAATATTGAATACACAAACAGAAAACATGTTTAAAATTACTCAGGATATGAATATTCATGTTGTTTTAAGGCCAAACAAACAATCTAACATTTGTCAACCTTGCTTTAAAGGAGGAGAATGTTAAACGCTTGCCCCTATTTCCCACTCCCCTGTGATCTTGCTTGGCCCAGTCCCTACTATACACCCATTTCATAGATATATATATATAGTTGAATCTAACTGGCTCAAATATGTTTTATATGAAATGGAATTAGAATTTTTCAACTCTTGTTAATCTCCACAATGAAAATTTACGATTTTAGAAACATAAGTTGTCGACTGCATTGGGATTAGTTTTTGTTGTGTTTCTAGATAATGTCTCAAGGCACTCGTCAATTCTTACCTTAAAGGTTTCGTCAACACATTTCAATCCAACAGTTTTTGGTGTGGTATAATCTTTTTTGTGTTTTGTCTTCTTCACCGACATGCCTCTTTTGTGGGGTTTCTGTACGACACGAATAAAGTAATGAGTACTCTACCCAATAACACACAACAGAGTGAGTACTGTACCCACAATAAACAATAGACTGGAAAAAAATACACCTCACAGCTGACAGAACCACAAATTACAGTATTAACCTATATGATTCAAACTAGCAAAATGTAGACATGTAAAATTTCACAAAAGTAGTGAGAAGATAAATACTGGATAAAGAAAAGACAAGCAAATAAGAAAATAATACCGCTAAAGGATAATGGAATATGGTTGTCACACTCACCCCACCGCCTCGTTTATTGGTTATGGCCACATGTATAAACAACGTACAATTCTCTATCGGGTCACCAGTGTTGGACAGAAGGTTGATATGGCGATAACCTGTAATATACACACACATCACCTTATGTAATATACACACACATCACCTAATGTAATATACACACACATCACCTTATGTAATACACACACACATCACCTTATGTAATACACACACATCACCTAATGTAATATACACACATCACCTAATATTTACATTCTGTATGCTTAGACCCATTGACAAAAATTACATTCATAAATGCATAACACAAGTGTTCATAGAATCTCAGCACGTGGGAACTGATAGTAACCTGATCACACTGCGTAGTTATACACTACAAAAACTACTCACTCGGAACGACCGAACTAGATGCTTAATTCTTACATCTTAAAATATTATTGAACTGTGCTTTGTGAAATATCCACGTATTCACGTGTCCTGTTCTACAAATAAACATTGAATATGGAACTACATTTTGTTGTGTTATTGTTGTTGACGGTTGCTAAGATCTCTCACGATAGTGTCACATTTCCCCGCGAAAAAACACTGTTCTCGCCACTGCGTTGCACCCGTGTATAAGCAGGAACAAACCCTGTTTATTTGTTTTATTCGTTGTTATATCNACCTGATGTAATATACACACATATCACCTTATGTAATACACACACACATCACCTTATGTATAAACAACACACATCACCTTATGTGATATATACACACATCACCTTATGTAATATACACACACATCACCTTACGTAATATACACACACATCACCTCATGTAATACACACACATCACCTTATGTAATACATACACACCTCACCTTATGTAATACACACACATCACCTAATGTAATATACACACACATCACCTTATGTAATATATACACTCATCACCTTATGTAATATACACACACATCACCTATGTAATACACACACATCACCTTATGTAATACATACACACATCACCTTATGTAATACACACACATCACCTTATGTAATACATACACACATCACCTGATGTAATATACACACACATCACCTTATGTAATATACACACACATCACCTTATGTAATATACACACACATCACCTTATGTAATATACACACACATCACCTTATGTAATATACACACACATCACCTTATGTAATACATACACACACATCACCTTATGTAATATACACACACATCACCTTATGTTATATATACACACATCACCTTATGTAATATACACTTGAAGAACAATGATACATTAATAAACACATCACCTTATGTTATATATACACACATCACCTTATGTAATATACACACACATCACATTATGTAATACATACACACACATCACCTTATGTATATCACCTGGATATTTGAGCAATCATGGCAAAATATTATGATGCAATATTTCCAAATATTGGCTCTGTCTCTCCCTACAACACCCTTACATTATTGGGTCCATCTGTCCTCCTTGGGGTAGGGCATGGTTTGTACAACATTGAATCCTAATGGGCCAAGGTCACTCTATATCAAATTTGGTTTAGATACCTTTGTCTGTGTGGAACAAAAAGCTTTTCAAGATTAACCTCTTTTGACCTTATCGGGCGCTATGTGAGAAGAATTTCCCATCCCCCAAACCGTAACTTGCAAATCTACATATATATAGATATATATTATTATTATTATATAATTTCTTTTGTATGTATTATTATTATATTATTTCTTTTGTATTTATTATTATTATATTATTTCTTTTGTATTTATTATTATTATATTATTTCTTTTGTAAGTAATAGTATTACTAGTATATCTCAATCCTAAACCTTAAGACCATAATTAATATATTTATATTGCTGTGATATGGTTATGGCGGGTACGTATATGGCGGATGTCATTATAGCGAACTATTATGTGACGTTATAGTTTATGACGCCAATACTTCAAATAAACAGTCTGAAGAATCTCCTAGAAGAGATGAAAGTACTAAAGACTCGTTTTTCTTTATATAATATATATATATATATATATATAAATATACAAATTAAAGTTAACAAACATTTTCATGAATGTTCAAATGATCAGTTTTTAGTTTTACCAATTTATCAAATGAATACATCAGATACTATTGAAAGAGAATTAAAAGAGAACAAGTTTATCAAAATTCTAAAACCGAGTCGGAACGCAGCAAATCTCGAGCACCTCTTATAAGTTTAAATTTACATTATGTTTGATATTTTCAGATGAAGTAGGTACTAGGCTCTGTGATTTATATTTACTATCAGATGTTTTAACGTCTACTCGTGAACAATGTATTTCATTTGAGCATTTATAATATACTGATGTTTCTTTTTCCGTATATTTCATTGACGCATTTAACATACATTCATTGAAATTATTTTTAAGATGTCTTCGTGTTTTGTTTCATATACACATTTGTATTTGTCTGAAGAATGTCCTTGATGAGATGGAAGTGCTAAAGATGTGTTGTTAAGTGTGTTTATATTACATGTATATGTATATATAAGATAGGCTGCATTAATCATACTTGGGATGATAATAGCTGATAAAAACACTGGTAATGAAGATTGATTTTATAATCAGATTTGTAATGTATATTAAGATGACATTACGACCTATGAAAGGGGAGTAACTCTTCCCTTACCTGTTTGCATACATTCAAAAGGTACAGTATACTGAGCTATAAATTCATCGCCTATAAATTCATCGTCTAGAACAGCAAATCGCACAAGGGCAAGCTCTGGTAGGTTGATCTGGAACTCGAAGCTCTCATCAAATATCGGGCAGTAGCCTGCTAAAATGAAAGAAAGATAAACATCCCGTTGGAAAAAATAGATAAAAAGATGAAATTTTTGTTTAAAATTCTGTAGAAGCTAGTATATCTCAGATGAGGGTTATTTGAAGAACAATGATACATTAATAAACAAAGGTTATGACTGTTTAACTTCCAAAACTACTAAATAAAATCAAGAATAAACTTCATTTATTTTAAAACAATTAAGAAATAAGTTTTTTCAACATATATTAATCACTCTTGTTGGCTCGGATGTTAACACACTGAGAGTCTTAATGTGGGAGGAAACTGGAGTACCCGGAGAAAACCCAAGTGGTCGGGCGGGTGACCCCATACCTTTTCATGTCCGAACAGGGAGATGAATACATTAAACCACCAAACCAATGTCCTGATACGTACCGTTGTGGGGAACTGTCTTAGTCCTCTCCTCTGAACAGTCGGCTGGTATCCCAGAAATCTCTATGGTAACATAGGGGTCAGTAACGTCACCTCTTGACCCTGACCCTTTTGGTTTGGGGAAATGCTGACCACTTATCACCTATTAAATAATGACCAAGCTAAACCAACATGTTTCTGTAATAGTACCATCAAACAGGTACCGATTTCAGTATTGTAAGATGACAGAAAAATTATACGTTGGACCTGTATAGCCCACCGGGTTTTGTTCTTAAAATTATACTTTATTATTTAGAACTGACTTCTTGACCATGTAGTCAAAATTGTGAAACGATTCATGTAGCACAACCAGTAAGTGTTTCTATGTGATGTTTAGATGACTAGTACGGTATGTACCCAGTCATCTTTAGACCAGACAGAGTACATACTGTACTATTCATTGAAACATCACATAGAAACACTTATTGGTTGTGCTACAAGAATCTTTTTACAATCCATACTTGCCAACCTGAAGAAAATGCTTAGAAACATGTCATAAATAACATCACTCAGTTGGTTTTCATATATTTACTTTTTTTTGTAACTTATTTATATATCTCCAGGACAAGACTGTTGACCAGGAAATTCAACAAAATATAATTTATGTATTTACAGAAATCCATAATAGAAGTGAAGAAATAAGCAGTGTACCTTGATGTGTAGAATTTGAGGGGAGACTCCTGGAATGACCTCCTTGGTGCTGGCACTGAAGTAGGCTATCTCCTCCCTCATAATGGACGGTTTGAGGATATAGCCACAGTTACCGTTCTTTAGGAACCAGCCGTTATACAGGTCCATCATCAGGCCAGGGGTCTGGTAGTTCATGGCCACTGAAAACAATGCTGGCCATTAGTACATAAAACGGACACAAAGGGCCTGTATAACTCATCTGGACATTTAAGCAATTATAACAAAATCTTCACATTGACAGTAATAAGAGACACCAGCTGATCCTAGGGACAGAGCTGGCGGCCTGGGCCAACCCTGGTAGTATATGTGTAGTCAAATGTTCATGCTAACAAATTGTGTACAGTATATACTTTTGTAGGATAACTATCTGGACTATTTCCATGTCATGGCCAATGACCAAGTCCCTATAAGAGTGGGGGCAAACTCTGAGGCCCGTTCTAATGGAATGATTTTGTTTGTCTCTGCATGCCCATTAAATGACTAAGGCCTTTGGAGTTTATATTCATTTCTATGCCCTGCAATGGTATATAAGGTTATAGGATTAGGATATTAACAATTTTAATGTTACGACCCCAGAGAATAAGTCTCCAGGGGTTGGACCAGACCCAAGGTCCACTTCCAAAAATACCTTGATACAGCTTGCAACTATAGACTGCAGTCTTTTTTACACTTATAGTTCTAATAATTCAATACTGGGAATTTCCTAACTATCATTTACAAACATGTTTGTGGTTATAATTTTTGGAAATACAAATTTGTAACTTGCATTTTAACACATATAACACGTACCCATCTGACAGCCACAGTTCCAGAGGTCGCGGGGGTTGTAATTACTGGAGTCTACCCTTAGACTGTTGGGGTAAACACGACTTAGGAACCGCTTGTTGTGGTTTACAAACTCCTCCGGACATGTCATGGCCAGCTTCATAGCTACTGATTCACTGAATGAACACATTTCCCAGAACTTTTCTGTAACCAAAACAAGCACTGTCATTAGCTATATGTACAGAACTGTAATATCCTAGCTATGATTCTGTATACAAAGTCAGATTACACTGTCCTAATTAGACTAAAAGTCAGATTATACCATAGTTATTAGAATAAAAGTCAGATTACACTATAGTTATGAGACTAAAAGTCAAATTACACTATATTTATTAGACTAATAGTCAGATTATACTATAGTTATTAGACTAAAGTCAGATTACACTAGATATTAGACTAATAGTCAAATTACACTGTACTAATTAGACTAAAGTCAGATTACACTATAGTTATTAGACTAATAGTCAGATTACACTATTGTTATTAGACTAAAAGTCAGATTACACTATAGTTATTAGACTAAAAGTCAAATTACACTGTAGTAATTAGACTAATAGTCAGATTACACTATAGTTTTTAGACTAAAGTCAGATTACACTTTAGTTATAAGACTAAAAAGTCAGATTATACTATAGTTATTCGACCCAAAGTCAGAATATACTATAATTAGACTAAAAGTCAGATTAGTAATTCAATTTAATAAAAGCCAGGTTACACTGCAGTGACTAATAGTATATTAATACTGTAGTGAGTAGGTGAAGAAGACTTACGATGCTGTTGAGAAACCTGGAAGTCCTGGAACCTCACAGACATGCAGTAGGTAACGAGGTCTGACAAATCTTTTCCTAGCTTAATTTGTTTGTTGGCCGGACTGTCCTATAGGATATAAAAATGGCAACACATAAAGATCTAGTTATAAAACACACACAATACACAATAAATACTCAAAACATACACATGCAGTCACGATCAATACTTAATTAAGGCCGTAGGAATACACCTACCTAGGGACTCCAGGGCTAACATTAAGACCATGTACAGAGGAAAAGAAAACATAAAAGTCCTAAGAGAAAATGAATTAAGATTTCTTTAATGTTCCCCGAGTACACAGAAGGAACTGTTGGTTCTATAGTGGGTCTATATAACTCTCCTCTCACTGGCATGTGTAGGACACAGTGGAAGAGCATACCAAAATACAGCACATTCCATGTAACAATGTTCCTTTTAGAAACCATGAAAGTGAAGTATATAAAACCACATAGGTGTCAACCTCTGAAACCTCCAATCAGGGAGATCTCCCTCATTCCACATTTCCAATGAGGGAGAAAGTGGGTGATATCTGACTGAAACTGCTTTGCTCAAATTATCTTTCCCTTTCTATGTATTAAAATAACTTGAAACAGCATTCCTATGATTCAGACACACCTGTTATGATCATTACACACACCCTGCAGTAACTAGGGGATCATCTGATCACAGGATGTAGATTTTAAGTTTGTGTGAGATCGGACTTGAATGAGGTCAGTAAATTTTGGTCAAAATGAGGGAGTTTCCCTCCTAATGAGGGAGCTAGGGTTGACAGCTACGTGAGAGAGCTAGGGCTGACAGCTACATGAGGGAGCTTGGGTTGACAGCTACGTGAGGGAGCTGGGGTTGACAGCTACGCGAGGGAGCTAGGGCTGACAGCTACGCGAGGGAGCTTGGGGTGACAGCTACGTGAGGGAGCTTGGGTTGACAGCTACGTGATGGAGCGTGGGTTGACAGCTAAGTGAGGGAGCTAAGGTTGACAGCTACGTGAGGGAGCTAGGGTTGACAACTACGTGAGGGAGCTAGGGTTGACAGCTACGTGAGGGATCTAGGGCTGACAGCTACGTGAGGGAGCTAGGGGTGACAGCTACGTGAGGGAGCTAGGGTTGACAGCTACGCGAGGGAGCTAGGGCTGACAGCTACGTGAGGGAGCTAAGGTTGACAGCTACGTGAGGGAGCTAGGGTTGACAGCTAGGTGAGGGAGCTAGGGATGACAGATACATGAGGGAGCTAGGGTAAACAGCTACGTGAGGGAGCTAGGGCTGACAGCTACATGAGGGAGCTTGGGTTGACAGCTACGTGAGTGAGCTGGGGTTGACAGCTACGCGAGGGAGCTAGGGCTGACAGCTACGCGAGGGAGCTTGGGGTGACAGCTACGTGAGGGGGCTTGGGTTGACAGCTACGTGAGGGAGCTTGGGTTGACAGCTACGGGAGGGAGCTAGGGTTGACAGCTACGTGAGGGAGCTAAGGTTGACAGCTACGTGAGGGAGCTGGGGTCGACAGCTACGTGAGGTAGCTAGGGCTGACAGCTACGTGAGGGAGCTAGGGCTGGCAGCTACGTGAGGGAGCTAGGGCTGACAGCTACGTGAGGGAGCTAGGGTTGAAAGCTACATGAGGGAGCTAGGGTTGACAGCTACGTGAGGGAGCTTGGGTTGACAGCTAAGTGAGGGAGCTAAGGTTGACAGCTACGTGAGGGAGCTGGGGTTGACAGCTACGCGAGGGAGCTAGGGCTGAAAGCTACGCGAGGGAGCTTGGGGTGACAGCTACGTGAGGGGGCTTGGGTTGACAGCTACGTGAGGGAGCTTGGGCTGACAGCTACGTGAGGGAGCTTGGGTTGACAGCTACGTTAGGGAGCTTGGGTTGACAGCTAAGTGAGGGAGCTAAGGTTGACAGCTACGTGAGGGAGCTAGGGTTGACAGCTAGGTGAGGGAGCTAGGGATGACAGATACATGAGGGAGCTAGGGTAGACAGCTACGTGAGGGGGCTTGGGTTGACAGCTACGTGAGGGAGCTTGGGTTGACAGCTAAGTGAGGGAGCTAGGGTTGACAGCTACGTGAGGGATCTAGGGCTGACAGCTACGTGAGGGAGCTAGGGGTGACAGCTACGTGAGGTAGCTAGGGCTAACAGCTACGTGAGGGAGCTAGGGTTGACAGCTACGTGAGGGAGCTAGGGTTGAAAGCTACATGAGGGAGCTAGGGATGACAGCTACGTGAGGGAGCTTGGGTTGACAGCTAAGTAACCATGTTTTATTTCAATGAAGCATTTACTTTGGCTTTGTTGTTTTTCTTCTTCTCCGCCTCTGATGATTCATCTTCGTCTGTTACATAGTCTTCTTCGAATGCACAAGTCAGGGGCAGCTTCTTACTCTGTCAACACAAACACCGTTTGTAGAAGAATTCACAGGAACTTAGCATGTCAACACAAACACCGTTTGTAGAAGAATTCACAGGAACTTAGCATGTCAAAACAAACATGTTTTATAGAAGAATTCACAGGAACTATTATCATGTCAATACAAACACATTTTGTAGAAGAATTCACAGGAACTTAGCATGTCAACACAAACACTGTGTAAAAGAATTCACAGGCCCTTATTCACAGAATAAGACAACACACAAAACATGCATGTCTTTCATATTCTATATAGATCACTCACACATAAATATACACATTGATAATAGGAAGCTAGATATAAATATCCTATTTATTTTAGGAGTATGACAGAATATTTATATTTTTCATGAGTGTGATCAAGCATGAGTGAAAAATCTGAATGTTCTGCCGTATAAGTGAAATGACCCAGACCAGACTTTTAAAGTAACATAACACAAATATTGCTGCATCAGAAAAGTACGGGATAAGGGTGGATTGGTCGAGTGGTTGAGTGGTTAACACTTTTGCCTTCCAAGCAGGCGGCCGGGGTTCGATCCCCGAAGTCGCCGTATGCATGGAATATTAGAGAAAGTGTTTTTCTCCTGCCCACACAACTCCTACAACCCAGGTGGAGTATAAAATGGTCTGGGGTGGGTGTTGCGGTATCTGTTCTGTAGCATTCAAGTGAGGTGGCACTATAAATGATACCGTTGGAAGCACGGTCCCACTACAAACAGAACACAATACATCTCCAGCACACACACAGGCATACACACATAGGGAGATATTAGCCAGGTGACATAGGACTAGTAGTTAGCACCTGATAAGGCAGCTCCTGCAAATTCCTCAATATTGTATTGATCAAAATATATATGCTTATTGTATTGACTGTATAAAATTGTATATCTATGTACTGTAAAGCGCTTTAGAGTGGCTTATGTTAGCTTGATAGGGCGCTATATCAAATGTTGTATATTTATTTATTTATTTATTAACAGTAGCGTCATATTTGATGCCAGGTTCTAATGATGTCATGATCGACAACAAGGCAGTGTCATTTGAATAGGTTGACATCACAATTCTGTTGCATGTTGTGTTAATCTGGTAACATTTCCAAACAAAAATAATATCAATTGCAGATTTAGGTAAATACCATAATGTATTTAGCAAAGGTTTACCAAAACAACCACTTATTCTGTCGTCGTTTAATCTAAATTTGAAACTGAAAATCTATGCAGTGAATAGAAAGTACTTTTCTGATTGGACAATACCAAAAGTGGTATCTGAACATCTGAACATATAACATTTTGTATATCTAAATATCAATTTTTTATAAAATGGATAATTCCTGATCTTTCAACGGTAAAAATGGAGTAAATATATATACTATAGCGGCAGGTATGCGGTTTAGTGTTAGGCTCCTGTTATGGGAATATTTTATGAACACAATTTATTTACAAAATGTATGTTGAAATGACAAGATAATCACCACAACTTATCAAATCAAAGCTGCTAGGTGCAGACAACCCTGATGATAACACACAAGTGACCCAGACCATATAGCGCACCATTGACCAGGATTATAACACTCAAGTGACCCAGACCATAGCATACCAGTGAACAGGATTATAACACACACATGGCCCAGACCATATAGCGCACCATTGACCAGGATTATAACACTCAAGTGACCCAGACCATAGCATACCAGTGACCAGGATTATAACACACACATGACCCAGACCATATAGCGTACCATTGACCAGGATTATAACAAACAAATGACCCAGACCATAGCAGACCAGTGACCAGGATTATAACACTCAAGTGACCCAGACCATAGCAGACCAGTGACCAGGATTATATCTCACAAGTGACCCAGACCATAACATACGAGTGACCAGGATTATAAAAAAAAAATGACCCAGACAATAGCATACCAGTGACCAGGATTATAACACACAAGTGACCCAGACCATATATAATATACCATTGACCAGGATTATAACACACAAGTGACCCAGACCATAGCATACCAGTGACCAGGATTATAACACACAAATGACACAGACCATAGCATACCAGTGAACAGGATTATAACAAACAAATGACCCAGACCATAGCATACCAGTGACCAGGATTATAACCCACAAGTGACCCAGACCATAATATACCAGTGACCAGGATTATAACAAACAAATGACCAAGACCATAGCATCCCAGTGACCAGGATTATAACACACAAGTGACCCAGACCATAATATACCAGTGACCAGGATTATAACAAACAAATGACCAAGACCATAGCATACCAGTGACCAGGATTATAACACACAAGTGACCCAGACCATTAAGCATACCAGTGACCAGGATTATAACCCACAAGTGCCCCAGACCATAGCATACCAGTGACCAGGATTATAACACACAAGTGGCCCAGACCATAATATACCAGTGACCAGGATTATAACACACAAGTGACCCAGACCATAGCAAACCAGTGACCAGGATTATAACATACAAATGACCCAGACCATAGCATACCAGTGACCAGGATTATAACATACAAATGACCCAGACTATAGCATACCAGTGACCAGGATTATAACATACAAATGACCCAGACCAAAGCATACCAGTAACCAGGATTATAACATACAAATGACCCAGATCTAGACCATAGCATACTAGTGTCTAATATTATAACATACAAGTGATCCTAATCATAACACACAAGAACATTGTACAAACCTTAATTAGGACTTTGCCACGGAGATCGTCTGGTGATGGTAAATCTGGAGCCTCTATGTCAAATGGAAACAAGACAAGTTTATCACCAAATGTAGACCGCATACACTCCACCATAATCTTCTGCTGTTTGATACTACAGTGGTTTTCTATAGATAATATCAGGGGATAGCTGCAAAATAGAAAATATGTCCGTTACAAAATCTTACAATTTACTGTACTCTTTATGCATGTTTAAAAAAACCTTTAATAGATATTTAAAAAAAAAACAAGGTTACCGCGAGCGGTATATAATACGCCCGTCACACATTGAATGAGCAGTTGTTTGTATGATTGAAATATATGAAGTATTTGTGAGTAATTGATATTAAAAGAGAAATCATTCAACATAACTGGTAGATCAATGAGTGCAATACAACATCATGGAACGCATGCATCGCATTAATGAAACCAAGGG